AGCTAAGATGTAAACTATGAAGCTAGAGCTGACTGACTAACAAGTACATTTTGACATCTAGTAGAACACAGTGGTTATTGCGAATGTGAACACAAAGCATAACCTGAATTACTCCTAAATTAATATTTTAATTCAATTCAAAAGTAAAATAATGACCATGTTAGGCTAGGTTTCTAATGTTGCCAAAACACATACATTATGCATCTGGATGGAAGAACACCAGACCTGAATAACACAAGCTCTTTGATCTGACAGCCACTGTTTAGGACTTCTACCTGCAGAGACGTCCTCTATTGCTGGCTTTTTGAAAATTGCTTCATATCAAATTTTCTAGGCAGCCTGCAGGGCAAGTTTATGGACTGTATTTGGATAACACAGGGTAGAAAAGCTGGATTAACAACAGAAGTGCTGACAGCAGGAAGGTTATGAGGGTGGGGTAGTATAGTAGACAGATGCCACATCCTCTTCCATTTCACTTGATTCCTCTGTCATTTATGTTAAATGTAGTAATAATAACAAACCCGATCCGCTTTGCATTTTGTGTAAATGAAAGTAGCAAAGATAAAGCAAAAGAAAACCTGTCATGGATTTATTGGGTATTTGACATAGAGAAAAATTTCTGTGCACATACTATGCAGCTAAAATCTAGTGCTAATCTTACCACAAATTATTCTAAACTGTCTGTTAATGTTTAACACTTTGTGCACACTGTATTCAATGATAACATATCTGTTTATGTGTGATGCAGGCTTGAGAACAAAGGTTTGCAGGAGCAGCTGGAAACCACAAGGTCTAGAGCTGGCGCAGCCCAGCTGGAGCTCAGGGAGAAGCTGGTTGAGGCAGGCACTGATATCACTTTGCTGCATCACAGACTGCGAGGACTGACCGATGAGCTGCATGCAGCTCTTAATGTCCAGGTAAGATATAGGACCTGGAAAACAAAACCCAAAGCAGAACAACAGTCAGGTTTCGCCACCTTCATTACAGTTTGTACCCATCTGTATTTATACACACACACACACCATACAAACAAGACTGTTATCACATGGAGATGCTCTACAAATTGTGTTAAAGAGCCCTTTGAGAATATTCATCCACCAGCAGTTTAATGTTAAGTGAGTTCTATTATGAGAGAAATGCTTTAATAGTTTAAAAAGCATTTTGTAGCAGCAGGCAATACTGAAATGAGTTGTAAATAATTGGACTGCAGCACCGTGGAGAAATGTTTTCATGCAGATTTTATATGTTCTACTTTTTAGAAAAGAGAGACACTGAAGGATAAAGAGTGCCAACCAGTCCACACCTTGGAATATTGTCAGCCCTCTAGCTCGTTTGTTGACAGTATCGTGGTTGCATTAACCGCTGAGAAAGAGGAAGTCATCAAACCGGAGACGCCGCCTGATCCAGGTATTGTAGGTCGCCCTGAATATGTCTCAAGGTGATTGTTTTTCCAAAATATAATAATGTTTAGACTAATAAGTGTTCATGTCCTTGAACAGCTGACTCAGTAATTAAAGAGACAAGAATGAAACTTACCAGCAAGTTTTTTTTTTTTTTTAAACCTTGAACACAGCATCTTTCAGTTTGACAGTGATGCACGGTGACCCAGTGACACCTGCTTGGCTTTGGTAAACCTCAGTTTCTGTTGGACATGAGTTGATATAAATTTAATTTAATTAAGTGCAATGTAGCAGTTGCGTGTCTGACACCCAGAGACACACCTGTCACAGTTGCTTCATGCGAGGGGCTCAAACATGGGTTGAATGTGTGTTCAGCAGACCCAAGATGCATTTACCCTTCATGAAAGAGGGGTATGGGTTTCCTGTGCTGGAGGATGAGAAGTCTATTTCCCAACAATAATTTAGGTGATGCAATGAAGTGTTGCATTAATTGTTGGGTTTTCTCACCCCCTCCCCCCAGTTACATTTCCCTTACGGATGAAAAACAAACAAAAAAACACCTTTTTATGGAACAGAATCTAGTAGCACACTTCAGACTCTGTTCAGAGAGGGCTTAATGTCATCCAGTGACCCAGGGGCATTGAAAATCTAAGTTGTAGGTAACTGTCTCTTCAGTCCACTCAGGGGCGCCTGAGCCACACCGTGAACCTTTGTTCAGTGAGACGAGCGCCTTCACACGCATCACAGCCGTCACCCCTAAAAAGAATTTAGACACGACGTTTGAGCCAGAAGAGGATGAGCGGAGCAGTGTGGTGAAGCTGCTGGCTGACCTGGGCAGCACCGTCACTGAGCTGGTCAGTGCCCTGAAGATGGTCCTACAGCGTAAAGACGCTCAGCTGGAGGAACTGAGCAATACCATGTAAGTGCTGTAAAATGTTTATGTGGTGATGAAATGAGGTATGTTTTTTTTCCTTACTGACTGAATCTATTTTCAGACTGATTTAGGGCTGCAACTAACATTTGTTTAGATTTTCAGTTTTATTATCCTTAGATTAATCCATTAACTCTTTGCAGTAAAAAAAAAAAAAAAGCCTTCACACGTTTTTCACTTCTTTCCTTGACCACCAGTTCAGATTTGAAATAACTTCATTTTCAAACGACATAAAACAGAAAAGCAAAAACATTCTCACATTTGAGAAACCGAAAACAGCAAGTGATTGGCATTTTTTGCTTAATGATTGGTAACTTGATTAACAGTTAAGTGAGTAAATCTTGTCTGTTTTGATACTTGTTTGATCACGTAATCCCTTTAGTGCTAGATTGACTAACAGCTTAGTTATTTTTACCTTTTAACAATCTGCTGATTATTTTCTTGATATATTAATTATAAAACACCAAAAAACTGAACTTTTGTATTAAGCCCATGAAATGTAATTTTACGGCTTGTTTTATCCAGGCAATTGCCTAAAAGCTGTAAATCCTGATAATGAACTGATTCTAAAAATACTTACCAGTCAACTACATGCTGAAGTAATAAACCAAAATGTGTAACGCAACTTGGGAACACCAGCTTGATCAACTGAGAGTCTACATTTTATTTAGTACATGATCTTTATCAGGGTCAATCAGTCAGAGAAGGGGTAAAATAACTTGTAGTAAATATAGAGATTTTCAGGATGTATAACGTCACTTTCGAAGATTTTTCATATTTGAAATATTTGTTTTGCGTTTAGTAAAGAGCATTATTTGTAGAAACTTAATGTAAAATAAGGTGGTACATATAGGCCTAACATTATTTAATTGTTACAGCTGTGGCCTGCAGGGGGAGCAGCAGACTGCAAAGAGCAAACATGAGGCAGAAGTGTTTGAGCTTAAGCATCAACTTCACCATCTAAACAGCCTGGCTGAGAAAGGTAACCAGGCGCTGCAGCAGAAGGCTCTGGTAAGAAACGCTGAATTTTGACATTGTTAACATTATCTGTGAGTTCAAGAGGGCTATGTATAAGCTCTGACTAATGGCTGAGAAAAGCACTGAGCGGTTTCTTTTAAAGTGTTTGTTTACACAGGATGATAAAATTGTGACGGAGTTGACAGCAGAAATACAAGAGGCCCGCGAACTTCTAAATAAACACAAGACTGACAATAACGTAAGTAATAGAATACTTCATTTGCAGCACACAGTAAAAATGGCATTTAGCTAATTGTGTGGCTTTTATTTATTTTTTTTAAATTTGTCAAATTTTCACAGGAACTTCGGAAGGAGGCGGTTGAGCTACACCGTTCTCTCCAGCAGTTGAAGGTGGAGTCCCAGTGCCTGCGTGAGGAGTTGAAAAAAGCTGGTGGCCAGTCAGCTAAACCAGCACATTTCATGGAAGAGAAAATCCAGCTATTGACAGAAGTATGTGTGGTTTTGTCACTTAAGGTGTCATCATAGCCAAATACAGCAGGTGCGCTGATTATTTACATTTTCTATTTATTCTTGAGCCGTCTAGTGAGTTTCTGCCTATTAAGCAAACTTTGCTGGTTTAATGCTATTTGTTTCTAATAAATATTTGTGTGATTTCATCTCCAGGTTGAGAGACTGAAGGTGGGTCTTCAGGAGGCAGAACAGGCCAGAGTGAAACTCCTTGAAAGAGCAAAGAGACATGTAAGTACTGAATGTGTACAATGTCAATAAATATCCCTGGGAACATACCAGCACATTTCTTTGTCTTGGTAAAATGTGCCTTCATAGCCACATCTCAGAATTGTTTTATGATGTGATCACAATCTTCTAATGAACCTCACAGCAAATGATCCATCAGACCAACCAGCAGAAAAGTGAGAATGAGCTTCAGATGTTAAACAACATGATCAATAAAGTTAGAGAGGTGAGAGATGCTTTTGTGCCTTCTTTCTTAGTTGAAGTGTATAAATATCATCTGCTGTTGGTTTGGACATTTGAAGTACCTGTTTTTATTTTCTCCACACAGACTCTGCTGTCTTTGCCAGAGGTTGTGGAGAATTGTGAACAACTGCAACAGCTTGTCAATTACATCGGCTGACACATTTGCTGTTGTCACCTGTGACCATTGTATTTATGTCCGTGTTGTTTTAGTTTGTCCTGGATATATGTTTTTTATTTTTAGAATGATGAAATATAAATGTTTTAAATCTTATGAGTTGTCTTTATTACTTTTTGACAGCACAAAGTCATACAATTATCATCTTAGTCTTAATAGCAGCGCATGACTGCAGTCGTGTTTGAATTCACTTAGTTGAATACCCAGCTAGATGTGTTCTGTGCCACACTAGGTGCAGATTAAAACATCTGTGCCAAGTTTTGGCAGTCAGACTATTTTTCTGCCAGCTAACAAAGCATTTAGTTTGATCTTTGTGCCTTGTTTTACGATTTAGTTCTGTAATATATTTATATGCTGTGCTATATGAGCACGAGTGCACTAGTTGTAAGCCATCAGTTGGTTTGTGAAACCAACACTGATACTTCAGCCACGTACCTTTCAAATTTTTATGTTTGGTTGTGATAAACAATGTTATACACCTTTTGTTCAGAAAATTGTTTTTCTAAAAATGGTGTGTGTTGGGGGGAATTAAACCCTTTCAAAGATGTTTTTTCATGCATAGTTTTTTTACGGTTGGAACAATTGTGCACTGAAAATTAAGGAGTGTTTAGATACATTAAAATTTGTTCTGTTATCAATCTTAAGTGCAGTGTTACTGTACAAAATGTGTGTGTGTGTGTGTGAGAGAGCGTGTGTGTACTGTTAACAGAAATTAAGTATGCCACAGAAAGCTACACTTAAGCTCTAAGCTTGTTTTACTCTCGTACTTAACTCAGCCATTCTCAAGGGGTGTGCTGCGCTGGTAGGTGTCAGAGCGCCCTCTGGTGGCCCACGGGTACAGTGGCATAACACAATTAGGTGAAGTTTATTTATTTTGTGTTGTATTTAGTTGTTTTTTTTCTCATTTATTTGGGAAGGTGGTCCTTGAATTTTTTTTTTTTCAATCAAAAGTGGGCCTTGAGTTACAAAAGGTTGAGAACCCCTGACTTAAATCATTGTCCTTTTCAGATTATTATATTTTGATACTTGCTGATTTCTGTTATACATTTAATCTACACAGAGTTTTAGGGTTAAGTTGCATTCAAGATAAACCAACACCTTTTACAAAATATACT